GGGGTGGGGGGGTGGGGGGGACTATATACCAATGAAGGAATTTTTCTGTTACTTTTCAAAGAGAAGAGCGTACTGGTCGGGGGGGGCAGTGAGAAAAGTACAACAATGAATGAATGGAAATCCAAAATCTCTGTAAATGTTCATTTGAATTAATAATTAAAAAAAAAGAAACAAAAAAAAGAATATATTCGGTATTATTTATATGACAAGAGTCTAGAATAAGAGATACATAGCAAGCAAAGTAGACTAGGGGAGATGTGGGGAGAGAGGGAGGAAATTATGAAACAATGAATGAATACTTTCTTTAAAAAGTGAAATGGTGGGGGTAGGGAGGAAAAGGTGTAACACTGAACAAATGAATAACAATCCAACCTTAGATAAAAAATTTTAAAAAATTAAAAATAGAGATGTGTTATATATATATATATTAGAAATGTTATACATGATAATAAAAAAAATTGCATTATTCAAAGTATCAAGTAGAGAGGTAGGTAACTTTAAAAAATTTCTTCCTCCCCATGATTCAGTCTCATCAAACCAAGAAAAAGTTCATCTATTTTTACTCACCAAGTGTAGACAGTTCCGTCTTCTTCTTAGACCAAGTATAATACTGAATAAGCCCTTTATATGCCTGAATAAGGTTAATTAATATTTCCTGGGAAGATGACTTTTCACCGTATCTCCATGTTTCAGCCTGGCTTAAATTTCTGTTTGCATCCTCAAGCATTCTGTGATGTAGAAGGTACAGTGCATGTTGTAAGGAGATCTGCAACAATGAAGAAGAAACGGCCTGCTGATATACAGATTATGAGAGTATCATAAAGCAAAAAGCTCTCCATATCCACTGAAGAGTTAATGTATGACACATGATATGCAAAATACAACAGTCTCTGCTGGCAATGTTTTTCTGTGGTCTGAAAGCGAACACATATGAAACAAAAAAAAATTATGTAAGTAAGAGTAAAATTAAGTAACCTTACAAAAAACAAGTGTGCTATAGTATGGCTGAAAGAGTTAAACAAAGAAGTGTTTTCAGTTAGAGAGCATGGAAGACAAGTGGAAACCAAGAAGTAAATGAACAAAACTTTCTTTTATTTACTCAAGCATCATTTTTTCTCCTCATGCTTTTTACATTAGTGTCAACCTAGTAAATGAAATACACAACTTTAAAAATTTACACTGCAAAAAGTCTATTCTCACCTTTAAATAATTCATGACACCAACATTTTTCATTCGATCCGCAAAGGCATTGAAAGTCTCAACATTGCTCTTGGGATGATAATACAAAATTTCACTTCCGAGTCTCCAAATAATCTGTCAAAACAGAAATCACTACCAAAATGTAAAATCCTTGTCTTAACAAATTTTTATAAAAGTATTTTTAAATTTTTTTTCCAGTTAGAACATTATAATCAACCAACAGTTTTATCTTCCTCGATAACACTGTTTACACCTTACTGTGCTTTACCCAGAACTATTTTATCTTGTTGTTGTTGTTGAATACCACTGAGTAGGAAGCAACTCAGAGCGGATCCTGCAAAAGGTTTTCAGAGGCAATTAATCACATGGCAGGAGACTATCCATCTTTCTCCCACAGAGCAGTTGGTGCATTCAAACTTCATGCCTTTAGAATCACAGTGCAGTTTCTTACCACTAGGCCACCAGAGCCTAAGTATTTTTTTTGTTTAATTTATTTAAAATACATGTAATATTTGATTTGCAATGCATTATAGCTACAGCAAATTGTACTTAAAACTGGTGTGAGGCCTTTTCCTATATCTTATTGGGGGATTTCCCCCCTATATCTTATTGTCAATGATGCTCAATGTTACGTTTTAATGTTTAAAAAAACTACTACACAACAGGCTGTGGCAATAAAAATAAAACTAAACAATAAAAATGGGGTATTCAACTTATATAAGAGCCAACCTACAAGTTGTCAAAACAAAAAACAGTGATTACTTGTACAAGAAAACTGTAACTAATCAAGTCAACCCTAACTCATGGCAACATCCTGTGTGTCAGAGTAGAACTGTGCTTCATAAGGTATTCGCCTCTGAAGGAAAACACGCTGGAAGGTCAGCTGTGGTTCCGTTCTGATTTGACGATGCACAGCAACTACCTTCTTTAAGTTTGCGGTTACTTTAGGATTAACCGAGGTTGTTTATATGCCTGGCGTGTAAAA